CTACATACTCTCTACCCTTAAGTTTTAGAGTATAATTCAGAGTATGCACATAAATAATTGTTATTAATGTCACTTTTTCTTGATATATTATTTCTAATAAATAGTTAAAAATTTTAAGTTTTCTGTACTTTATTAAGTTAATTATTTAGTTGTATGTAAAAACATTTATTTTTAATATACTACATACATACATATGTATGTATATATGTATATACTATTTGGGGCTATGATATTAGCATACTATAATTAGTGAATGATAAATAATAAACTTGTTATTGTATTAATTTATAAATTTGACAAGCAATTTAAGAAGTATTTGCTTATAGATAAGATTTGATTAGAGTTAGAAATCTTTTACAAAGAAAGTCTTTAAATGTTAGAAAAAACTGAGAAATTATCTTAAGAGTTTAGAAGTTTCACATAAAATTGCATAAATTTTATTGCTCTGTCATTTTGCATTATGAATAAAATTTTAAGATTCTCGCCCTATACATATATATGTACTATAAAAGTACAACTCATTACTGCAAATAATATAATATTAATGATTGTTATTTTCTCAATTCTGATTAAACAAATATAAAAATATGTGTATTATAGCTATTTAAGTTAAGCATTTAGTACATAAAAGTGTAACAGTAATATTTAAATAAATTTAATCAACAATTAAAAAATTTTTTTACTTGGTCTTGAAACCTATTATAAAGCTTTAAATATTCTTGTTCAAACAAATTAATATAAATTTTATTTATTGATAAAGGTATACATTCGAAAGAGCTATCATTAAAATAAAATATTAATAAAAAAAAATGGAAATTTTTTTTTATAGAGCTAGAAAATCAACAAACCAGCCAATCTATTATATAAAATCAACTTATCATTTCAATCTTGTAAAGGTGAATTAAATGTTATACTATAATTAGTAAGAAGAAATTAGTTATATATTCAAAAAAATATTAGCGTGAAAGAATCTGGTTTGGTTAAAGCAATAGTATGACAATATATAGTTACATATTATATATGATTTTAAAAAATTAGTTATAAAGAATCTGAATAATGTAATAATATCAAATAAATACTTAACTGCCAATTTTATATCAAAATTTTTGTAATTATCATTCTTAAAAAACAATATCAAGATATAAATTTAGTTATTATATTAAAATTTTTGAAGAAAAAGCTAATGAATAGCAAAATTATGTGATTTGCTGTACTTGACATGATGCTGTTGGTAAAGTGACTGCCATGATTCAAAAATTTTTAAATAAAAGTGATCAGTAAAGAATTATCTAAAAAAATGTACACATTTTATTAATAAACAAGATGGTAAAGAACTAGTATTCAAGTTATTAGATACTGATTTAGAACAGGAGAGTTAAAAGTTGAATATAGTTGTTGTTATCAAAAGATCTTGTATAGGAAAATATAATTTAATTTTTATTATTTTAATAATAATTTTATAATTATATATAAATTTTTTTTTATAGACAAAGGATTGCTTAACAAATATGTTATTTATTATTTATTAAAAAGTGATAAAAAAATTTTAGAATTCTCTTATTATGTGCAACTGTTTCTGCAGAATATCATTACAGTGGGTACAAAACAAGAAAGTTTGAGAATTATTTCAATTTTTAAATCCTATTTTAAAATTATCTGGACATTGAGTATTAGGTAAGAGAATTTTAAATAATAAAATAGAAAAGCTTAAAACTACATGAAATTAAAGCTTAAAAATAAATCTGTAAAGCTGATACTTGCTTTTGATAGTTGGACCAAAATATTATGGGAGCAGTTTTTATTATATCTGAAGGAGAGATATTACTTTGGAAAGAAGTTGATATTAGTAGTAAAAGAGAAAAATAGAAAGAAGTTATAAAAAAATTGCATGAATATTTACTAAAATTAGTCAAATAGAAATAATGCATATTGCTATTATTTGAGATAGTGCATTTTTCTATGCCATAGCAAGGTATATAATAAAATTAAATATATATTAAACATATATTAAATTTTTTTAAAAATTAATCTTTTAATAAATATAAATATCATCTTCAATTAAAGTATATCAATATTACCTTTTTATCTTGTTATATCTACCAAATGAATTTATTCATAAAATAGATTTTTAAAAAATCAAGTGAATTTTATCAAATAGCAATTAATGCTATTAAAGTTGAAGCTTATTTTCATTCTGCACATTATAAATATTTTATTGGTTAGTTAAGAAATTTATAAAAAAAAATTTATAAAAATTACATATCTCTGGCAATTGGTAATGATACATATTAAAACAGTTATCTAAAATATTTTTACTTATTACTAAAATCAAAATCAGTATTAAGAGAATAAAAAATCATACTTTTGATTTTATTTTAATAAATTAAATACTTATTTTATTTTATTATATTAGATACTTGCTTCTAAATTTAGTCTATTTGAACTATTAGATAATAATTAATTATATATTCTAGAAAATCTAGTATCAATTCTTTTAGATAAAAGTTGGTGATATATATTACAAAAACTTGTTAATATTTTGACTTCTTATAGCATTATCAATAATAATCTCCAAAAAGATACAGCCTGTTTATATAAATTCTATATGAGTTTAGTATTTTGTAAAATTTTAGAAAAATTATGAAGATTCTTAACTTTAACAGTAAATATTGAATCGATTAAAATTAAGATAGAAAGAATAAGAGCAATCACTTCTTTTTTGTTTTGGCTCTCCATTTAGAATATCAAATAACAAAATTTAGATCTAATATAACTAACTTTAATCATGTATATTTTAGTAATAGCTTATACATTATTATAAAGCTTGGTTATATAATAAGACTTGATTAATTTTATATGAGTATAAAAGTTTTTGAACAGGTAAATTTTCTTTTAACAACAAGTCAATTAATCAATTTAAAAAAAAAAACATTTCAAATTTTGGTTTTGAGTTGTATCAGCTACAAAAGAACTTGCTTTTGTAGCATAAAAAATATTTAGAATCTGTATAAATATAGCTTCAGTAGAATAGTTATGGTCATGTATGAGTTTTTTTCATATAAACTGTTGAAGCTAATTATATATAAATATATTGTAATTATATATTTGTTAGGTAAATTTTAAACTAATTTATAAATCTATAATGTAGTTTCAAAAAATATTAAATATAAGCAAACTTCAAATCTCAATTACCTATCAACATCAATTAGATAAAGCAAGTTTTAGTAACTTTGATGAAGAGTCTGAAAATAAAATCTCTTCTGATAATAAAGAACAAGTACTGAATAAAAGACAAGTATCATACCAAATGAAAAACAAGCACTAGCACCAAATAAAGAGCAAGTACTAGCACTAAATGAAGAACAAGCACTAGTACCAAATAAAGAGCTAGTCGGCATGCTACATATCTTACAAGGAAAATGCTTCCTAGCTCTCTAATGTTTATAGCACCCTTCAGACCGGCGACAGGTCCACCCACAAATGACTCTGTTCTGAGCAAATAGTTGCAAATGTATTCGCCTATCATAATAACAAGAATAAATATTTTATTTTAAACAAAAGATTTCGTAGTATTAATACAAATCCTAAAGAAGCTACACCCAGGAGAAAAAAATATATTAAACAAAAAGTTTTGTAATATTAATACAAACTCAAGAAAATACTCACCTAAATAATTTATTTTAAACAAAAGTTTTTGTACTATTAATATAAACAACTGAAAATATATACATATATTCAAAATGATATCACCATGTCCACGATGTGGTAAAGATGACTTTAAAAAGACTCATGATCAAAAAGCTCATCTTAAAAGAAAGTTTAAATATAAACCAAAGCCTATTCCACAGATCAAAAACCAAGTGGTTGTCCAAGATCCAGAGGCCAGGCCAGGCCCCACAACCCAAACCTATAGAGAGGAACAAACAATTATTCAATCTAATATAAACCAAAAAAAATATGCCCCAGAAAACCATTTCGATCAATTTATGAAGTAGAAGACAGAATTATAGAAAAAGAGCCACCTACAAAAAATATAGAATTTTTAGAAAGAAGACCTGACCCCAACAGACAACATCAAAATCTTAATACTATGACCGTATGGGAAGGTGTGATACCCTCAATCAAAAATTCTGCATATGCTTTTAACAAACGTTTAGACAATCAGACAGAATATGCAGATGCGCCTTATATGCCCCAATTTATAGCTTCAGCACAAACTGCAATTACAGATGTTCTCAAAAAAGAGCTTTATAAAAAGGATCAAATAAAATCAGCATTAGTTATTCATGCTACATATAAAAAATATAAATATAAAGGGTTTGGCGATTCGGCTGATATAAAAAACTATGATACAAGTTATCACCACCATATCATAGAAGCAACATGCATATTCTTCTTTCAGAAAATGATATAGACCAGCATTTAACACAATCTGTTAGGAAAATTGATGAAAAGATTGAGAAGTACTTAAAAGAAGAGTCTGGCAAAATTCTTCTTCGATTAGAAATGATATTTATCGAGACATACACTTATCGCCGATCTAATAGAGGTTCTTATATTCCAACACCCAAAAGCTTTCCAATACAAAGTGTACTATTAATCCAGACAATTCAGATATTTTTGATCTGGATATAGACAAGCTCACAGATAATTGTCTCAAAGGTGCGTTAGGCTATTATTTTGCAGATAAGGATAGAATTACAGACCACTTGGGAAGGCGTATATATAGAGCAAAAAGCTTTCAAAAATACTTAAATATTGTCAAGCTCGATGGCATTCCAATGCCCACCCCAATCTGTTCACGTATATTTAATAAGATTGAGGAAATGAATCCTGATATCTCAATTAATGTCTGGAAATGAAAAGAAGAAACAGCTACTTCCAAACTGGTAATAGCTAGCAAGAACTTTAAAAGACAACATGTAATTTGTCTACTAGCTCTTACAAATATTAATAAAAATAATGAAACAGGTAAGTATGGGCAAAAGAATCACTTTCTCTAGATCAAAAATCCTAGCAGATTAATATATGGAGATAGTGCATATAAAGCTAAAAAGTATCTATGTGACGGATGTTTTCAAAGTTGGCCCTCAGAAAAATCTTTAAACAATCATTTGGAATGGTGTCCAGGACTAAATGAAGCCCCTCAAAGAGTTACTTTACCCTCCAAAGGGGTTAATGATTTTGAAAAATTTAAAAACTATGGTCGAATAATTAATGCCCATGTGTTATTATAGCTGATTTTGAAGCAGATAACAAGAAATGTAAAGAAATATATGGAGGGCAAATGCAAAAGCTCGCAGAACAGAAGGCAAATAGCTTCTGTTATTTAGTTTACTGGATTGATACTGGAAATGTATGGGGGCCTTTCCTATATAGAGAAAAAAATGCAACCCAAGAATTTGTCTGAAAAATTGATAAGGAGTTGGTTGAAATTAATAAGGTCTTAGCTATTAAGCATGACCGAATTATAACAGAAAAGAATAAGAAAAAATTTGCCAAAGCGGATACCTGTTGGATTTGTAAAGAAAAATTTGATATAGATAATAATAATGTCTGGGACCACTGCCACATTACAGGTAAGTTTCAAGGATCCGCCTACAATACCTGTAATCTCAAACTCCAGATCAAAGCATGAAAAACTCCTATCCCAGTTGTCTTTCATAATTTCCTGGGCTATGACTCTCATTTAGTCTGTGAATCTGTTGGGCAGTCTGTTAATGCACATCAGATAAAAGTTATAGCTAAAACATTTGAGCGTTATAAATCTATGAAGGTAGGTCAACTTAAATATATAGATAGCATGCAATTCATGAATAATAGCTTGGCAAATCTTACGAAAAATTTGGGTACCAACCACCCTATAACAAGCTGGCATTTTAAAGAATATTCTTCAGATCAAATTTCTCTAGTATGTCGCAAAGGAGTTTATCTCTATGAATATATCAATTCACAAGATAGATTCCTAGAAACTAAGCTTCCACCAATTCATGAATTTAGTACATATCTTCATGGCAAAATTAACCGAAAAGATTATGAGCATGCCCAAAAAGTATGAAAAACTTTTGGTTGTAAAACTCTAGAAGAGTATCATGATCTCTATCTTAAGATTGATGTACTTAGCCTAGCAGATATTTGGACCCAATTCTAAAAACATGTATGCAATATTATGAGCTTGATTTGAGCCACTATGTGTCTGTGCTAGCTTTAGCTTGGGATGCTATACTTAAAATGATAGGAGTTAAAATCGAGCTATTTACAGATATGTCAATGCATGACTTTATTGAAAATGCCAAGCGTGAGGCATAGCTAGAGTATGTAAACGATATTTCAAGGCTAATAATCCTAAAATGTGTAACACATTTAATCTATTTAAGCCCATATCATGGATTTCATATGTTGATGCAAATAATCTTTACGGCTAGACCATGAGCCAGTATTTGCCTATAGGAAATTATCAATAAAAGGCAAGTCAGAAATATTTGCTTAAGAATCCTGAAATGCAAAAGAAATATCTTAATAAGATTCTTAATATCGAATCAAATACCAAAAAAGGATATTACTTAAATATTAAGGTGCACTTCTCTCTAAAAACCATGACTATTTGAGTGATTTACCCCCAGCTGTAGAGAATATGGCTGTAAGTAAAGATATGTTGTGCCCCTATACTACAGAGCTTGTAGATAACTTGGATGCGGGACAGTTTTTAGTAACAAAAAAATTAGTTCCACACCTTGGTCCACGAAAAGATTATGTTATCCAATACCAAGAACTCCAATATTACGTAAAATTAGATATGATAGTTGATGAGGTTACAGAAATCTTATCTTTCAACCAAACTAACTGGCTTGCCCCTTATATAGCCTTTAATACAGAAAAGTGACAAGGCACTAAGAATGCTTTTGAGAAAGATTTCTTTAAGCTCATGAATAACTCAGTATATGGCAAAACTATGGAAAATATTCCAAATACCAAGATGTCAAGTTCATAGCTATGAATAATGAGCAAGATAAAAAAAAATTTATTAAACAGATTCATAAACACTCTTTTAAATATGCTAGACAGCTTGGAAATACACTTGTAGAACACATATGGGAAAGGCCACTATAACTCTTAACAAGCCTATTATTGTCGGAGTATCAGTTCTGGGTCTTAGTAAGTTCTTGATGTATCACTTCTGGTATGGATATGTAAAAGAGAAATATAGTAATAAAGCCTAGCTCGGATATATGGACACAGACTTATTCATATTCAAAGTTGAAACTGAAGATATATATAAGGACATGGCTAAGCGACCGGACTTTTTTGATCTTAATGATTCTAAGACTATTGGGCTTTTCAAAGATGAGACTCCAGACAATATAATTACAGAATCTTATCATATCTGGGCTAAGTCATACCACTATGTCTTAGCAGATAAGTCTACAAAGTCTAAGCATAAGGGAATTATTAAAAAAGGTATAATGAAATAGCCACAAATTCATATATGCCAGCTTTAGAAGGGTCCTTGCTAGATGATCTGATAGATAGGTCATTATTATCAGAGCAAGAAGCCAATAATTTGGCTATACAAACTGAAGCAGATTCTATGACTCTAGTATATTGGAACTGTCTATTTGGTAAGAAAGTATTCTATGCCAAGAATGTGGGTATCCGTTTAAAGGATCACATATTATCTTTAGTCAAATCAGAAAAAAAGGCTTTATGCCCAATAGATACTAAGCACTGGATCCTATCAATAGAATTATCTCTTTGCCATATTTCTATTGGCATAATAAAGCTTATAAGAATATGGTCAAGGATAGTATATCTAATGAAGAGGCCAAAAAAAAAGCTATAAGAGCCAAGCTCCCACAGAAGTATCAAAACAAATATATATCTTACATAGCCTATTTTCTCACAAGCTCGAAAATAGATATATAGTTAACCAATATATAGTAATCAAACTAGGAATTAACTACTTTTTTAACTTCAAGCGAGTATCGTGAGAAGCTAGGGCTATGACATTGAATGTCACACTTCTTCCAATAAGATTTTTCTCACAAACTCGAGTGAGGATCACAAGAAGGTGGGCCATATACTAACTTGAAACATTTCTACCGCCTTCTCGCAATACTTGTAAGCCGGCTTAGCCAAATATAAATAGTTAAAATATATTTGTTATCAATATATTTTTTTTATTTAAAAAATTTAACTAGATGCTAGTCCAATTTAACAAGCTCGGACACTGTGTCTAGACTCTACCCAATATAGATACTATGCCACATACTGCACCCTGGTGTCTCACCTCAGAAATTAGTTTTTTTTAATATATTTAATATCTATATATATAATACTTGCTCAAAGCCAGATATAGTTAGTTATCAGGTTTTTTAATATATTAGTTAACTATATATCTTTTTTTGAGCTTGCGAAAAAAAAGCAGAACTGGATAGAAAATTATATAGAAGAGCAAACCGGTCTTGAGTTGGGCAAAAAACTATCAGATTCAGATTCAGATTCAGATTTGGACCTGCCTTTCTGTGATTTCCAATTAAGAGCTAAAAAAAAAAGGATCAAGGAGCAAGCTTAAAATAATAAATACTATCTGCCTCCTCGCAAAGCCTTACTTTAGAGTAAGGCTTTTTCGAATTCTCGACTTCCTTGACATTATGTTCAAGGCCGGCTTGGCTACGTAATTGCTGAAGCTCTTTCTCTTGCTCTAAATACTTAGTTAGCAACTTCTCGCTAAGATCATTAATTTCGGCTTTAGATCTAGGTGAAGAATATAATTTTTCTTTAAGCTCTTGCTTTGTTTTTTTTACAAACTCAGCCTCTTGATCCCTTTTTTTTCTCATTTCATTCGAAAAAAAAGATAGATAATTTGGAAAAAAAAATAAAATATATCTAGTCATTTTCACTTTTTTTTGTTTTTTTAAGCTTGCGAGAAAAACGAGATCTGTGGGGCAAAATATATTTAAAAAAAAACAGATAACTATTTTTTTCAAATTTATAA